ATCTTGGCTGAATGCCAGACAGATGTTTCCTTGGGTTTTACTAACGGTACCAAGGCATTCTACTGTGTGGATTGTAACAAACAAGAGCATAATCAGATAACCTCTCTGGAAGAGCAGAATGCTCTGGGCTCAGCAAGACGAGCACATCCCACCCTCAGCCCCCATTCCTGTTCGCTGCTCAGAGGACCTGGGGGGTCTTTTCAGTTCCAGCTTTGGAGATTCGTCTGATCTTGGGGTGATCATGTTGAGGGCACACCCAGAGATTCTGGGTTCCAGTGAGCACTGGAAATGCTGTCTGCTGTGGGACTCAGACCTCTGGTGTCAGTCCCCAAGGCAGTAGTGGTCACCCTTCCTTGCCTGAGCCTCCCGTTCCTTGGGAACTTGTAAGAACCTTTGCCTATTTTTAAACGGGCCCTGGTGGCGTAGGGGATTCTCCTTGGGCTGTTCAACACAAAACCAGCAGGTCAAATCCACAAGCAGAACAGGTGAGACTTTCTGCTCTGGTAAAGTTGACACGAATTGACCCAATGCAATGAGTCTGGTATTTCAGTTTTGTCTATTTTAATGGTGTCCCAAGCGAGTTTTATTTGATGAAGGGAAAGGGGGTGGATGGGCAGGGTTTTTTAAAGCTCTTTCTCCACGGAGACGCCTGACTGCCTCTCTGACCAGGGTGTTTTCCCGGTGCTCACTAGAGGGAGCCCCCTCCCCAAACCTGAGTCACCATAAATATTTCCCAGCGCCTCAAAGCCACCTGGACTGCAGTTGGGTCTCTGGGATGATTTAGGGGCCCTTGCACCCTTGAATCTCACGAGGAATGGGAAGTGTATGAATTCAAAGCAGAAAAGTCAGTTTCAGCCTTTGAATCTGAGAGCTCAGCCCCTCTGGGGGAGCGGTGGCCGTTGACCTTGAGTCTCCATGGCCAACATGAGGACCAAGTGGGTTACATTCCATGAGTTAAATTCACAACTTGTCCAAATCGATCTCATTGGTGGATCTGTCATTTTCCCCGATGCCGATGGCAAAGATGGACTGGAAAGTGACAACAGTCCTTGAAATGGGGCAGATCTGGGTCCTATGAGAGGGGGGCCATGAGTTTGAACACTCCCTCCATGAGGGAAGAAGGAGTGCTGGGTGGTGGTGGGGCAGGAGGGGGACTGGCTCTCCCACTTGCAGGATCCGTGAGAAGTTCTTTTGTCCAAGCTGATGGGGCCCTTCCTTGAGGGCAGGCAGGGCCATGGGTGCCACCACCTTCCCCCAGGACCCAGTGAGGACCCAGAGAAGAGGTGGACGGACAGCAGGGTCTCCTGCGTTCAAACAGTGGGTCCACAGCAGCTCATGGAAGATTCCAGCAAGCCTGGTCTTAGGAGCACGGTGACTACAAGACCTTAAGAGAGGAGTTTGGCCAGGCTTCTCTGCCAGCCTCGTGACCACCAGCCTGAGTAGCTGGACCACGGGCAGAGGATCCTGCTCTGTCTGTATGTCCATCCTGGAGAGCCCTGGGGGCTGACCGGGACATCTGTGCCCATGGGCCCTATACTTCCCTCAGCCTGGTAGCCGTGCGTGGCTCCCCTCATGCTTCTCGGCTCAACAGAGACACGCAGGCTCCCTGGGGGGTGGGGATGGGCAAGACCGCTCACATGGGTCAGAATCTTCTGGAAGGTGTCCTAGCCATCCCATCTGCCCTGCTCCGGGAGAGGCTTTGTCCTGAGAGGCAGCTTGCAAGCTGAGCCCGGGTGCTGGCAATGGGAGCCTGGAGCAGATGGCATCCCAGCTGGATGTCCAGGCCATCATGGGAGGGGTGGGTGTCCTGGAGGGATCTGGGCTGTTGGAGAGCCCCCTGCCCACAGCTGGGGGTGGCCCTTAAGGAAGGGGCCCTTAAGGAAGGGGCCCTCTCTGGCCCCTTTTGGGGAACCCCTGCAGAGGCCAGCGTCCACCCTTGTGGTCACCGGGTTTAGGGAGGCAGTGTCCCCAGCGGGGTGTGTGGGATCACAACGCTTCTCCCACTTGGGCAGTGACCCCCAGGTGTGGCTGGGCGTGAGGCGGAGCATGGACGAGCAGCCAGCTCTGTGGAAACTTATTCAGAAGACGCCGCTTCCGGACAAGCTGGGAGGGCTGGAGTGGTGCTGCCCAGCCTGAGGCCTTGGCCCTTCTGTGAGGTGACGGAGCAGGGGGTGCAGATGGGGAACAGACCCCCATTCAGTCTTTTTCCTGGAACCCCCTAGAAGGTCCATATGCCGGGGGTCCCCATCCTCCAGCTGCCTCTCCTCCAACCTGCAGGCGCGGTCCCTTGGGGGCAGTGTTCTCTGGCGGAGAAAGCAGCAGACAGTGGCCACGTGGGGGATGAATGGATGTGGTTACTACTTCAGACTGATTCCAGGGCCCTGGGCACATACGAGGCATGAGGCATTCAGGGTGCAGCAAACCCCCAAACCACATCACAGTGGGGGTGGGTGGGTGCGGTAACAGACCAATCAGGCCAGCACAGCCAGTCCCTGCTCAACCCTGGAGCTGCATAGTGTGTGGGGGAGGAGCACTCTAGTTCTGCATTTCAGGTCTGGTGACGGGGTGGGGGCTATAGGGGGGAGACACCCCTGAACCCAGAAAACAGCATGAGGGCCGTGGACACAGGCTGATCCTGAGCCAGCAAGAGACCCCAGGGACAAGAAGGGGACCAGTCAGGCCAGGCCAGCCCCACGCCAGGCAGGCATCACAGTTGGGACCACCCTGCACTGGGCCCCCCGACTGTCCCCTTGGCAGGTCCAGGCTGGGGAGGCACAGGGCTGCACTCTACAGAGCCATGGGGGCAGCTCAGGCTCACAGGCTCACTGCCAGCGCCTGATGGGCCGCTGATGAGCCCTGGTCCTGCCCCCACCTCTTCATCTTCAGCAGCCATCGGGCACCATGGCCTGCTCCGTTGGGCTGGGGCTGGTGACATGGGCGGGGCGCTGTTACAGGCACCCTCTTACCCCAGCTGACAGACACGCTCTGACATGCAAGTCACAGCGGGTGTTGTCGCGTGTCATCTCGCCCCAGCCGGCAGATCCTCTGACTGACATGAAGGCCGTGTGGTCGCCGCGGCGAGAGCTCACGCTGGCTGAGGGCGGCGTCTGAGTCGCAGGTGAGCTCACGAAACCTGCTGGTTGGGGACCGCTCCCCCTTGCGCTCTGGCTCCCGGGACCCCACAGACACCCCAAGAAGACTGGAACCGGGACGCCTGGGGTCTCTGCACACCATGCCGTGCCCCCTGGGGGATTTCCAGGGGCCAAGAAACCCTTCTCTATGACCATGACCCCATGGAGCAAGGGGTGGTACCCCATGCCCGGGAAGTTTCCTCTGTCCCCCGAGTCCAGAGGAAGGCTGGCCCCAGGGGACCCAGGCTGGGTTCATTTCCATCCACAGCTCCACAGGGCGAAGAAGGATCTTTGAAATCCGGTGTGAGCCAGGGACCCTGCCAGTCCCTGTCCACACTCTATGCAGAGTGCCAGTCGCTGCTGCCTGCGTGCCCCTGGGACAAGGCCCTGCCTGCTGGCCCCTGCAGACAGGGGTGGGGATGGACCGGCCTCCAGCCCCGTGGGAGCCCCGGGGCTCGCGCTGAGGCCCTCTGTTACAGACAAGGACCCTGAGCCCTCCAGCCTTCCCCTGGCCACCCCTGGCCAGAACACCCGGGGTCTGCTGAGGCCGCGTGTACAGGAGATGGGCTGGCCTGACAGCCAGTCATCCCAGCATGGCTACTCAGAGACCATGGACAGACAGTTCACTCTACGATCCCGCCTGCGAGTGCGACGGACTGGGTGGCACTTCACTTCAGCCGCTGGACGCTGTGAGCCTGGTGCACAGGAGGAGCCCACGCCCTGACCCGCTCTGGGCCCTGCTGTCCCAAGAGGCCCAGGCTGTCCCTGTGTTCCTGAGAGCCAGCTCCATTCGAGCGGTTGGTCGCTGTCCCCTACCTTCTGTATGGGACATGCCAGCTACAGCCCCAGGACACCACGGCCAGGGAACAAGAGCCATGCTTAGCAAAGGATTTTTTTTTTCTTTATTTTCATAATTTAGCTGAATCAACACAAAATCGAATACTGTTTAAAACAAGAAAAAAAATGCGGTAACATCTGAAATCTCCGGTCTCAGCCCACAAGGGTGTCCACTCTCTTCGCAGAGAGCCCGGCGAGGGAGAAGGGCACTGACTAATCACGTGCCTGTTGGAGCAGGGGGCTGCCCTACCCTCCAGCACACAGGCCCCCGGGACGGCAGGGTCTGACCAGTAGCCATGGGGAGCAGCCCCTTCCCCTGCTCCCCTCCTCTGTGGTGGCAGACAGTGTGCACCTCAGCCCATCTGCTCAGGGGACAATTACCTGGCTCTCGGCGGGTGGTGGCTGGATGGCCAGGAAGTATCCATGGTTCCGGGAGGGTTTTAAATAAATGGGTCTTTGTTCCTATCTTTAGGCTACGGTTCAGGAACAGCATCTATATAGTTATTATGATGATTATTTTTTTTGTTTTTGTTTTTTACTGTTTTTTAGTAGCATAGAACTAGCATAATACTCATGTTAATTGGACTCTTAGGTAGTTTACTCGGCAAAAACTCGGGGAGCTGGAGAGGCCGGGCCTAGGGGGCCAGGATTGGGAGCAGGGCCAGAGGGCACCCCCTCTTTGGGGCCTCAGGGCCCTGCCTGGCAGGGAGGGTGGGCACACTTGCCTTCGGGAAGTGCTGCTTCTCCCACTTTTGCTGCCACCTGCTTTCCCTCGACAGTGGGCTCCAGGACAACAGACTTCCGGGGCCGAGGGGCAACGGACACCCCAAGGCTGGGACAGGGCCCCCTGGGCGGCGCGGTTGGGACAGGGTGAGAGATGGCCAATCAGAGCCATGGGAAGAGGTGCCATGAGGACGTGCCCAGCTTCACTGTGCACCCGCCAGGCACCAGGGGCCAAGGTGCCCACAGGGACACAGGACTCGGCTCCACAGGCTGACTGGACACGGCGTTCCGGCCCTCCACGTGCTTCCCAGAGTCCAGCCCCATGCGCCCAGCACCCTTAGGTCCGTCCTCACCCGCACAACCCCCGTCCTCCCGGCTGAAGCCACGGGGGCTCGGGGGACCCAGCCCGCCCCCTTCTCCCACTGGCCAGGGCTACCACATTAATTGTTAAATAGGATTTTCTACAAATATACAACATATAAAAACTGTTAAATATATAACTTTAGGCTTTGCAAAATACATTTAATGATCTCTTTCAAACAAGGGCTGCGTTCCTTTCCGTGATGAGCGTTTCTGGAGCAGAGTGGTGAGTCGGGCGGGCACAGGAGGCCCTGCATGCTCTTGGCATTGCTGGCGTGTCCGACTATCAAAAATGGGGTCGTAGAAGAGGCGTGTTTAACTGGTTAAAACAGAAGGTGATTTAGTACAATCAAGTCCATCCAACCAACACACGGGAGACGGTGGCCGCGGCGGGGCCCAAGGGCGCTGTGGACGACATCCTTGGGGCAGACATTCTGCCTGGGGTCCGCAGGGGACGGGTCCTCCGGCCTTCAGCAGCTCCCTGCAGGGTCACTCACTGCAGTGTCCGTGGGGCAGGCGTCCCCTGCTGCCATGGGGACAAGGGCTCCTGCCTGCGCCCTCCCGCCCAACTGTCCGGCCCTGAGGGACGCTGACCGTGGTGGGGGTGTGCCCACTCTAAAATAGATTTTTCTCTTTGGTCTATTGAATATACTGAAAGTATAAGAAAATAAAAGCAATTCAGACAGTCTGGGGCTTGGCCGGAGGCCCGCGCTCATGCCGGAGTGTCCTTCCATCGGCCGGGGCACCTGGGAGGCTGGCTGGACCTCGGCCTCCCCTGGCCATCGGCTCAGCCCCTTCGCTCCTGCTGCGGCAGACTCTTGCCAAGCTGTGTCCGTCGGGCTGTGTATTGCTAACTCGGCTCTCGGCTCCCGGCCTGCGTGTCTCTCCCGACTCCCGGCGGTGGCCAGACGGGCGGGAGCTCGGATGCCCAGCGCTGTGCTGTCCAGAGTGGGCCCCGGGGCTTCGGGGGAGGGGGACTGAGGGTGCAGGAGGGCACATCCACAGTGGATGAGGGATGGTGACAGCTGTGGGGCCTCTCCGTGGAGCCCAGCCCACTGTGGGGCCCTCCCTCCTGGGGCGGCGTTTGTCAGGAGACCTGCGGAGACAAGAGAAGGCATGGTGGTCAGCCTCTGCAGGGGGTCCAAGATGGAGCTCACCCAGAGATGGAGGCCAGCAAGGAAGGCTCCGTCCTACCCCGCTGCACCACTCCACTTGGGAATGTCCACCGCTTATGAACCCCAGACTTCCTAGGAATGTCCACCCCTCACTGTCCCCACCCCTGCTGGGAATGTCCCCCCCTCACTAACCCTACAGCTCCTGTGAGTGACCACCCTTCACCTTCCCCACAGCTCCTGTGTCTGTGCCATCGAGCTGCCCGACTCAAGGTGACCCTGCGCACGATGGGACACCAGGCCATCCCGTCCCCACGGTGGCTTCCCCCGCGAGCTGCATCCACAGCATTTTCAGGGGACAGTTTTCAGAAGCACATTACCTGCCTCTCTCTCTTCCAAGTCCGTCCTGGTCTGGACGCTGTGCTGAAAGCTGCTCAGAGCCCAGCAAAGCCAGTGTCCATGGGCAGGAGGGTGGCTGTGCCAGGAGGTGCCCGAGTGGGCAATCCCCCTTCTTCCATGGAGCAGGTGAGGATGACAGCCCTGAGCCACCTGTGGCCCCGGGCCTTTCACTCCAAACCACTCACTGGATGCCAGCTCAGCCACCTCTGCGACAGAGTCGAACTGCCTGTCCCTGGGGGCTTCCGAGGCTAGAGCTCCACAGGAGTGGGAAGCCACGTGTTTATTTCCCTGTGGGGTGGTGGGTGGTTTCGAACCATTTACCTTGTGGTGAGCAGCCCAGCGCTAAACCCACTGTGCCACCAGAGCCCCTCCAAGGTCCTTTGGGTGCCCCCAAAGTGAGAACTGGGAACCAGAGGAGCAAGAGGCAAAATGCCTGTGGGACCCAGACAGTGCCACACCCTCCTCTCAGGAGGCCTGTAATACACACGGGGTTCCCAAGGTGCAGGATGAGCCGTGGGCACCCCACTGCCCCAGGGAAAGACCACGAGCACATCCAGAGTGGGGGTCAGCTCCAGGTTTGGTGCCAGGGCGCCACTTGGTGGCTGGGGACAGAGAAGGGCCAGGGTCACCTCCAACAACCAAGAGCTCAGGGACCTGGGACCAGACACGAGGGCCTTCCAGCGGCCAGGGCCTCGGTGTCTGATCCTGGTCTCCAGCCCACTCCCCTCCCCCATCCCAGGAGTCCTTAGGCTCAGACACTGGACTGTGGACTCCCCTGGACTGAGAAGAGACAGGGTACCTAAGTGGCCACACAGTGCCCACGTCACCTGCCTTAGGCTCGAGAGCTCAGCTCTGGAGCTGCCCCTCTGGAGGAGAGCCAAGGAGCTAGCTATTAACCCTGATGCACAGGGGGTTCTCGGTGTGGGTGTTGCAGCCACAGCCCTTGTGACTCCCCCCAAAAGGCCTTCCTCTTTCTGAGGGCGTGTATGAGGAGGAGGGGAGGGTCCTGGTGGATCCTGATTCAGCAGTGGGCGATGGTGAACAGGGTCCAGAGTGAGTACCATCCCTTGGGGCATCGAATGAGCCAGTGCAACAGGTGGGGGGGGGGGTCCACTCACTGTCAGCCAGGAGCAGAGCGCATCATCCTCTGGACCCCGGGGTCCCCAAAGCTGCCTTCTTGAACCAGAAGGCAGCTGTGACCTGAGAATGGAGAGTGGAGCAGAGTCCACAGAGCAACAGGAGCTGGGTGCTGGCTTGTGGAGTGGCATGCCTCTCTGGGCACTGAACTGGGGGAGTTCTCTGACTGCCAGGGCTTGGCCTGCGTGCCTGTGGGTCGAGGTATCCAGGGGAGAGGTCTGCCCTTGGGGCATTTAGCTTTCTTGCTGGGTGCCCTCCGGTCAGTTCTGACTTGTAGCAGCTCCAGGTGCAGCATGAGCAAAACGCAGCCCCGCCCCGCCCCACTCACACCGTGGCTACATTGGAGCCCATTGCTGCAGCCACCGTGTCCATCAAACTCCATCCTCATGGCCACTGCCCTCCTACTTGACCAAGGAGCCTGGTGGAACGGTGGAGACGTGCTGGGCTGCTCACCGCAAGGTCAGCAGCTTGAAACACCAGCTACTGCTCAGGAGAAAGATGAGGTCGTAGCTGCTGTGAAGAGCGACAGCCTTGGACGCCACAGGGCAGGTCGATCCTGCCTCATCGGGTTGCCGCGAGACAGAATTGGCTCCATGGCAGGGAGTTTGGGGCTCTACTTTATCACACATGCTGTTTCCCCGCGACAGGTCCCTCCGATGGCGCGTCCACAGGAGGTGAGATGAAGTCTTGCCTTCCTCCCTGCCAGCGTGTGCTTCCCCCACGAAGGGTTGCCCATGGGACGTGCTTGCAAGAGTCTCCTCCGGTGCCAGAGTTCAAACGCATCCATTCTTCTGGGGTCTTCCTCGTTCGGTGTGCAGCTCTCCCGGGACAATGTGGCGATTGAAGAGACCATGGCTCGGGTTCGGGGCAGTGCAGTCCTCAAAGTAGCATCTCGAGTCGGACTTCTTCAGCTTCGACGAGGGACTTTCCTGGCTGGCTCTAAGTGTTGTAAACCCGGACACTTCGTTGTCTTTTCTCTTTCTTCTTCTTTTTCTTGCTGGGTAAGCCTCTGCTGTGTGGACGCACCACACGTGGTCTCTCCCTCAGTTTGTAGATGGGCTTTTGGGCTGCCTCCACGTGGGACTAGGATGACCCCATCTACATGGATCTCTGTCTACATGGTGGACGCATTTCTCTGCGAATGCTTTTTCTCTCTTGAGTACTGTGCTAGTCTGGGTGGACTACAGAAACAAATTCATAGACACCCATATGTGTCTAAGAAAGAGCTTTATATGAAAGAGTAATTATATATTAAAAAAACATCCCAGCCCAGTCCAGATCAAATCCACAAGTCTGATATTAGCCCATATGTCTGATACCAATCTATGAATTCCTCTTCAGACGCACGCAGCACAAGCAACGATGCCGAATGCAGGAACATCACAGGCCAGTGGATGGAAAGTCTAGTGGATCCAGTGGCAGTGGAAGCACGTGGGTCTCCACGTGGCTCCCCCAGCTCCAAGGCTCTGGCTGCCATCAGCATAGCTCCACGTGGCTTGTCAGCAGGAACGTCTCCCAGGGAGACAAAGCAGAGAGAGAGAAAGTGTCTGGCATCCAGTGAGCGGTTTATCTCCGTGGCACCTCCAGATGAGGTCATCAGGAGATTATGTAACTACCACAGGTAGCAGCTCCCTATGAATGGCAGCATTGGGTCACATGGTTGACTTGACAAAGTAGCTGCTGCCAGGGGCTCAAACCTAGCCACAGTGGTGAGCATGGCACAGGACTGGGCACGTGGTTGCTAGGAGCTGCGTGGTGCCTGACCACAGGAACGGTACACTGAAGGCGGTCTGGTGGCCGCGTGGTTAAGTGCCTGGCTGCTCACTGAAAGGCTCATGGCTGGAACCCACGCAGAGGATCCGTGGGAAGGAGACCCGTGGCCCGGCTGCTGCCATCAAGACCATAGCCTTGGGAACGCCGCAGCAGGGCTGTTCTGCTCCAGCGCGTAGGGTGGCGGTGAG